CGTGACCTTGTTGTTGTTGTTGTTGTTGTTGGTGCTGGTGCTGTGGTTGTCATTCTGCGAGTTATTGCAATCCTGCCATCACTTTAGGCTTCGATTGAACAGGTTGCCTGCTTTGGGGTACTGCTTGGGTGAAATGGGACTGTCTCACAGGCCTCAAACATGAAGCATTGTAGGAAGCTTATCATACGACGCGGACGATAGACGATAGACCCCAAATCACCCAAAACCCTTCAACGCCGAAACCATGACTGTGTCAGCTTCTACGCGCAAGACATCTCCAATAAGCGTTATGAAGCTACACGACCGAAGACACAAATCAAGTCCACTCAAGAATCAAGCTGTGTTCATTACAGGCAATGATTCGAAGGAAGGATTTATGAAGGAACGATATTTGCAACTTGCGGCGCTTCTCCTGTACTAAGGCTGAGCCGTCTGGGCACTCAGGGTCACCCAGGCTTCAGGTTTCCTCCCCAGAGATTCGGCCGAAACTCCAGAAGCCCCACATCGAAGTGCCACAAAACCCAAGCATAGAATACCGACACAAACGAAAGGCTGAAACTTCGAAGCCCGGACCTGAACCTCGAAGTACCGCCTACCACCCCCAGAGCTCCCAAACCCGCAGAGTTCCCTCGAAGTCTCTCTTAGCGGCCTCGGGTGGATCCCTTCTGTCGCAGCTGGTTGCTCCCGTAGACGCAGGTGTCGAACTCTGCGTGCCTGCTTGGGAGCCGTGGAGCTCTCAAAGCTTCAAGCAAGTTTAGAGCTTTCACTAAGCTTTATGCTGAGGAGAGTCTGTGCTTTAGGAATCACGATGTAGGGAGCTGAGATGCATAGCAACTGTCTACTGGAGCGTTCTCGTAATCCTGAACAAATGCAAAACCTCTATAATCCAAGATCGTAGGTATCCCATTCAACAAAACACACCAATGGTCACCTTCAAGCATCCATGCCGTTCCAGATTCCAGGAGACTCCTGCATCGCATCGTAAAGCCCCCTCGTACTGGACCAGGCCCTTTTGAAGATACTCCCAAACATTGGAAGCGGTCGAAACAAAAAGATGTGGATGCAAGTATTTGGCGATCCTCTACAGCTCAAGCAATGCATGCCATGACCCTCTTAAAACCAGAAGAAGAGAAAACACAGAATGTCCCCCTACCGACCCCAGTGGCTTTCCTACCTCGCATGATACCTTGTGTAAGATCCTTTAATGTGAAGGATTCTTCGCAGAAGCCCCCAAGAAAGGAGACCCAGCAGTGCCTTACTCGCCGGAGAATTTGATTGTAGTCGGTGCCCACAAGAGCCCCTAGGTACTTCCTCATGTCCTCGATACGGCACGTACAAAATGTGCTTTCGGGCATGTGTGAGGGGTTTTGCCGGGTTGAGCAGAAGCAGGCGGCTGATGGAACTTTCAACCACCTACCCCTAATTACCCGAACATGCCCGAACTATGGGAAATATGCTGAAACCATATTATAATATGAACGTTGATGCAGGAGCGCTCTCGTTCAACAGCACTCAGCTTGTATCTCTCTCGAATGACAACAGTTGCAAGCAGAACACAACAAGAAGAGGAGACTCTTGCTTGGACCGGCTCTCTGCACTGTGGCGTTCTGAACTCGACCCGGATTTTCAAGAATTGGAAGCTTGAGGCATGCGCACATGTGCCGAGCAAGCATGCCCGACATCTGCCGCACATCTGTGTGCTGGGACTTCGCTTGAGGAAGTGAGCCATGACAAGGTCTGGAACAAAAACGACCGATCACATATGTAGGTTTTTTATATACAAATATTTAGAAATAATATATATATATATATATAATATATATAATATAAAATATATATATATATGTACATATGTATTATGTATGCACACATACACAGGGTTGCATTGCATGAAAACCTCCCCCTGCAGCTGCAATACTACTGCATGCAGTCTGCTCGCCAACCGAAGGCCGAAGATGCACATCCCTCAGCTTATCCGCACCCTAATTGCGATTAATTATCGATCCAGCTTGACTGGCTAAATATGTCTATTGACTACAGTCCATCAACGGCCAAGCTTCAACTCCATGTACTGAACGCACTGGATTTGGCAAGAGGCCGCCGAAGTTGAGATTGTACTTCCTAGCGGTGGCAAGACACATTATCAAATGTGCTGCACGTTGTCCCAAGCCGTCGTAGCGCTCTACCGAGTACAGGTATCCGTGCGCGTGTGCAGTTTGGCAGACGCTGCACTTCACCGGTGTGATTCTCGTCGCAGGCATCTTGCCGAACATAGCTCTCATCCGGCGATCTGGACCACGCTCTTTGCGTCCATGCTGCTGGCGACATGTGATGTCGGGCACAGCCGGACAGCCCGCGGCAGCATCCAGGCCAGCATTCATCATCATCAACTGGTTCTGCTTCTGATGCACTTGCAGCAATGTGGTGGCGTCGCAGATGTCCTGTCTTTGTGCTTCGCGCGCAATCTCACCACCAAAAGCAGAGAAGACAAAGACATGGCATAGCAAGTGGAGTAACATGGCTTCGGTGTGCGGGCACGCGATCTCTACGTCTTGATTTGACAAACGGCACGGGCAAAGCTTGGTGCTCAAAACACTTCATGCTTCGTCAGGCTGCAGGACACCTCTGTATCGTTCCACGAACTATCGAGAGGCTGCATACAGTCCCGCTACAAGGGTTGAGGATCTGGGGTTCTATGATTGCTCGAGGAGTGATGCGCTCTCTCACACCACCTCTGCTGCTTTGTAGAAACTCCAGTGCACGGATTGAATCCTGGACGTTTAACCTTAACTCAACGCCAGCAACCATGTGGTCTAGGGCTCAGAACCCGAAGAACCTGCATGGAAACTGAGGGCAGCCTAGGCAGCAGTTCCCACAAAAACTCTACACAAGTCATAAGTGCTCTATTCTGAACCCTGCAAAATCACCTCGTAAGTCGAAGCCGTAATCCCCAGCACTGTCCATCCTCACGGCGACTCTTGTTATTAAAACACCGTAGCAAAGACGAATGCATTCTACCTCTTGAGCTCCAACCTTAGGCACCACAGCATCGTTCATCAGAAACTCTCCTGACACCTACCCTAAATTACTAAAGGTCCAAAGTTCCCAATAATTTGGTATTTGGGTTGAGGATGATAATAGTCCGAATGCTAGTACTTGAAGGTTAATACGGGGAGTAGAGAATGATGAGGTACCTGGACCCTCGGGCTAGCGTGGCGGGGCCTCCTCCCATCGGGCACCTTTCCTGAATCATAAAGGACAGGAGACGGAGGCTCTGAGATTTGGAGTGTAGGGCTAGGGCTCAGGCCTCTGGGGTTTAGTTTAAGGATCTGGCTAAAAGTTTACGATGCACTGGATTGAGTTTCAGGCTTGCCCTGAGCCTGCATTTGCTCAAATAGTTTCGGGGCAAGGAGACTTCCACTTCGGCTTCGGAGATTGAGGACCTACGAACCTACTGTGTGAGCATTCGGAATCTTGGGTGTGGCGTCTAGTTTAATCATGGGGTTACAATCAAGAGGGCCGAGAGAGGGTGCAAAGCCTGTGACGCGGATTGCAGGTCCCTCTCCTAAACTCTAAGCGGACTCCGACATGTATCTGAGACCCGGCATGAACCCAAAAAGAACATGCCGGAGCGACCGAGGTTCTAATGTGTTAACATTCGCGTTTTGGACCCCTTAGCCAATGATTCCAGACTTTCTAGTAGCTGCCGGGGTCAAAAAACACTGAAGCTTGCGCGCGAAAAAAGCAGTATAAGATCCTACAGTAGATAGACAGATAGATAGATAGATACGCAGCTAGATAGACGGATAGACAGACAGATAGACAGACAGATAGACAGACAGATAGATAGATAGATCGATAGGTAGGCAGCCCCCAATCTGGTGTGCATATATATATATACATACATACATATATACATATATATGCACATATGTACCATGTCATATCAATCTGTCTGTCTACCTATCTACATATCTACCTACCCATGTATCTATCTATCCCCAGAAGGCTGAGGCCCATTTTAATTTAACCCTCACGGCAAAGAGCTCGCAGGCTGCCAGAAAGGTGCCGAAGCTGACGACGTTGAGCCTTCCATGCTGGAATCTATTATACAAGCATATGCATAGATCTGTATATACGAATATGGATACTTATATAACACTGTATAAGTGGTTATGAATGTATACATATATATATATATAGATATATATATATATAGACATACATACATACACATACAGCAGTACATATGCACATTCACGTACACACACACATGTATATGTGAAATATACATATAACGGTAAATACATACATGAAAGAGAGAAAGGCACACCGACGTGCACGTTACTACGTCACAAGCAGACTAACTTATGCGAAAGATACGATACATAAACGGCATGAATATCTCTATAATATATATATATGCTACCCCCCC